TTCACCTTGATGGTGAAATTTATTGACAATAACTGAAGGGGAAGAAAAGAGGAATCTTCATCTTGATCAATGAGTTTATGAATATGATGATATCACTTATTCACTTGGCTGTCAGCTATACCTGTTGTTCTGTAGAGTATGTCCCATGTTTTGGCCATATTGGCTGATCCCTTAAGTTTATCTTACAACAAATCGAATAAATGGATGCCTCCATAAGCTGTATTAGCTGCTATGTAGTAGAGGAGCTACAACAGAATGAATTTACCAGTCGGTCATGGAGAAACTTGAGATCGTAAAGTGCCAGTACTTGGACTTGATCTGTGAGCAACATGACCCTGGAGCTGGAAGTAAGGGTGAATTGCCCTTACTCCTTCCAGGTATAAAGGCGTCTGCATCTCAATTAGGCGAGAAACCTACAAAAAAACAATACAGCCTTTCAGTTGAAATGTGATGAAAAGCTTTCCATAAATGGGATTCGCAAGTCAAACCAGCCTTAAGCTACCCGATTCTAAGTACTGGCAAAAGACTCTTTCTTGACTAAGAAGAATGCAGACAGAGGAAAAATATATATTGGGGTCTGGGGGAACTACTTACGGCTCTACGGAAAGCAAAGCCTTCTTCATGACCGGATAGCATGGAAATGATTCCAGTTGGTGCACCTGCAGAGCTCACTTTCCCCTCGGCTAAAACATCTCTACGAAGTTTGCTACCTTCTATCTCTGTTTCAAATTGAAAACTGGATGCAAAACAACGTAAGTATTGACACAAGATCGTGCATCATATGATGGACAGTAAGTTAAGACCGTCTTTCAGGCTAGCCTAATAAAGAAGAGACTGTTACCTCTCCAGATCAAAAAGGGTACCCTCTTCAGTTCCTTGGAACAAGTCATCAATAGCAGATGCGGCATGACACACCATACAGCAATGATGGTTGTATAACTCATCTACCAGGGTGATAAATCTACGTGCCTGGAAAATCACAGCATAAGTTCATTAACGGTGTGCGTTAAGAAGTTTCAACATACACTGTAATGTTCCGCATCCTACTGTTTGATTGATAATGTCCCAGAAAACGTTCCTATAATTTTACCACCAAACAACCTCCTAAGATATTGAGAGGAAATAATGATAGTACGTTCCTTGACTCCTGGTAATGGTTACCTTGTCACGGATTCTCATACTCATCACTGGGATATCTGAGATGAAAACAGTATGATAATGCTTTGCTACGGCGATATAATCTGCTGCGCCCAACTGAAAATATTCACAATATGGTAAGTCACACTAGAAGAGGAGGAAAACAGTGATGAGCTTTTAGCAATAACGATCAAAGCCTCAAAATTCAAAACAAAAGAAGCATTATATAGCCTGAATATCTTGCTGCCCTGAAAGGTATATGAAACATGATTAACTTCAGTTTCTACAAATCAAGAATTTTAGAGACCAACTCTACAATGCCTTAGGCTGGCAGAGGAATTTTCAGAAAAGTGTATTTCAGTCTCAAATGCCATCTGTTGTGATTATTGAACTTCCCTTTATAAGATTTTCAGTTTTAAAGGAAACGAAAAAAAAAAAAGGTTACAAGGGTTTAGAGTTGTAGGAGTAAGTACCGGCCGACCACATAGATACTCAAATGAGAACCTTGCAACTCCTTTGCAGCTTTCAGGGACATCCAGTTTTCTGTATTCAGCCTGAATGTGAGTATTCAAATGAGGGTATGAAGCAATTATGTGGAATGGAGGTTTTGGAACATAAGAAGTACCTTCCAAACATAACAGGGATGGTTTCAGAGGTTATTCGACCCCCCAGTTGGTTGGTCAGCTGACACCACACTTTTTCATACTCATTCACAACATTGCTTTCCAGAGGCCAGAAATAGCGGACCTGCATACATGTGCTAATATAACTTCAACACTAAGAATTCCCCCCTGAACATTTCTTGTTTCATTAACTGGACAAGGACTTTAAGGTTGAATTCTAAGGCATCAAAATGAAGACCAAAGTTCACAAGAGCTATAGTAAACACATCTTTTAAGAATGGCCATCTAAAAGCAGGAAAGAAGACTCGATAAATTTCAGTTACTCCAAGCAGAGCATATCAAACGTCAAAGCAAAACCGGAAGTTGCACACTAAACTTTGAATAGTTACAAGTCAGAAATCATTTTTATAAGAGTACCTTGACTTCCAAAGAAACGACCTATATTATAACATCACCTGATGCTCACATCTCTGGGCTGCAAAACGGCGGTAATCAATCTCACTTCCAATCAATACTATCTCACAATGCTCTTCAATTTTTGAAAGTAATTTCTGGAAAATTTCCTTTTGCATGCCATCCTATGAATGCAATAAAAGCATATCACTGTTAGAAATAGCCGAGTGGCATTTGACGTGCTTATGAACAGTGAAGATTGGAGGTACGTATTAAAGGCAAAAGCTAGAGGAGATCCTTCACGACTTCATCACTTCTTAATGAAATATACATACAAGCCCATTCAATAATAAATTCATATGGAAGAGGAAAAAACACCTGATTTAAATCCTTTGGCGCTCGATTACTGGTAGCAACAAGAACAGTCCCTGAAGCTAACAATCTTCCCAGAATTCCAGATAAGGCCACAATAGCGAACACGTCAACTGTCTGTCACACAACAATAGGAAGCGTAAGTCAAGCGAATTGCATTGGGTATCAGCTTCAAGTATCGAAGGAATTCAACCCACAACTACCCACAGTAGAGTAGCCTTGAACTAAGATCGTAGAAGCTAAACTAACAAATCGGAATGAATGGTCATATAAAGATATCACAAGAGGAGTGCTCTTTCATCTACCTGTATCTCATCAAAGCAAAGAACACTAGCCCCTCTTTGACCTGTTTGCTGGTCTATAAGGAACTTGTCCGCTACAGCAGGAAGAATGTGTTTCATATGCAACTCTCGATTATATTTTTCTTCTGCAGCTAACCACTCCTTAACTTTCATATCAAAGGGAAGATTCATAATCCAACTAGATATGCTTGAGTGGAAAGGTTTCTCCTCCACTTGATTCTTCCATATATAATGCATATGCTCATTTATATTCAGCATTGCCTGCAGAGAACAATCACTCCTTCATCAGATTGACAGTCCCTCACTGACAAGAAGAACTAACCTGTATGCACAACTAACATTAGGTAAGATGCGACAATAAAGCAAATGTTTTTCCAGAACAATGTAACATTCGCCACCTCATGAAAGTGAAATCTTCTCCGATGTTTGACTAGTCCTACTGTGGCACCATAAAACATATCCATCAGCATTGTCTTCCCTGCAGTATCCAAAGCAATTCCTTCAGTCTGAGGAGCCGCAAGTGGAAAGAATATATGAATCAAGGAAAAAGTCTGGACATAAAACTTTCTAGCAATTGAAAATCCCAAGTGATCAACTTTCTAGCATGTAAGAAATGAGGGGGCACAGGACTGTTTATTGTATACCTTACAATCTCATTAATACAAAAGGAAGCATAATTCAAAATTTGTCATCCCAATCTCATAAAAACAGTCTTACAGTTCTACATCAGTAAGTTAACAACATACCACTTCCAACATTCCCATATATATACAGTCCTTTTGGTGCTTCAGGACCAGTAGGACGGCTACCAACAAGCGAATCCAGCTTCCTCTCTCTGTTTAGGTAAGAAACCCATTTGCCTACTCCAGGCTCTAGATTTTCAGGTCTCTTTCTGAGTGGAAAAGAAAATGCAAAGAAATGGGAAAATGAACAAGATCAATAGATCCAAATGTAAACATTCTCGTCCAGAACAAATGAAATGACGAAATCAGCCCTACCACTTCTCTATTTTGAGATCCAACTTACTGTCAATGTAACAATACATGCGAAGTGAGACAAAACAGTTAGGCTATCACGCGGTTACAGACCAAAGATTACATCTTTTTGTCAAAGTAACATCATTTTACAGACAAACTCAACCAACATCAAGTAATTTCATTCTAATTATACAGCATGAATAGGAGATTAGCTTCTAAGGTTCATCTACATCAGAAAGCAGGAAACACACATTTGTCTCACCTGAACATCCATCTTTCAACAAGTTTGCTGGACTGATTGCCCCCCTGCTGCTTTCTCTCGGCTTCATTCATCATAAGCTTCCGCCTCTCATGCTCCCTCTCCGCCTCCCAATTGGCTAGCTTTTCCTGCAAACCGACCAAGGAGAAGAGATTCCAGAACAATCAATTCGCCATACAAATCTCCATCCGGGAAAAATCGAAATTCGACAAAAGCTCCATTACATGATACTCCTCCATTTCTCTCTCATACTGCTCCAGTCTTCCGAGTAGCTTTTCCAATTCAATTGCAACTCTCTCCTGATACGGATCATGCCGCAGCTTGCCTTCCCCAACCAAATCCCTGTACCGCGCCAATGGCCCTGCAACCCAATTGAGATCGTTAGTTCGCCAATCACTATTTTCCCTAACGTATCGCCTAGTCAAAAAAAGAAGAAGAAAAACCTTGCGGTTTGGGCGAAGCAAGGCCAGAAGGATCGCAGTAACCCCGCGCATTGAACCGAAAAGTTCTGTATATTGTTTTCCGGGGAACGAAGAACCCTAAATGCGAAATTGAATAGATTCTCCTCATCATTTCCCTTCGAAGAATTGGGAGCTATCCAACCCGACCCGAAAAACAACCCGCCCAAACTACCTGCTTTCCCTTCTTCCCTCTTCTTCTGCTCTTTCTCTGCAACTACCATGTTTACGTGCAGCTCTGAGACTACCGACGTGGCCGACGATTTGGCGGCCACGTTGACGAATGGTCCCGTCGATACTACACTGACGTGGATCAAATATAGCCGTTGCTTCAACTTTCTAAAAGAAGTTCCCTGAAAACGCCGTCGTAAAGCTATTAGTTGTAGGTAGAACGCTGTCGTATTGTGCTCATTTGTGAAATAGATTGATTTTTAGGCTGAAGGCGCGACTAGATTTAGCGGTTACTGTTAGTTAATCAAATGCAAGTCGAGGTCGGCGCAACTAGGCTGCGACTATTCCGGTCGGTGAACATCTCTAATTGGGCGGCGCCGGCGGCCAGCAGAGTCGTCGGGAACGAGAGGGAGGCGGAGCAGAACTGTCTGGCGCTGCTTCAGGCCAGCGATTCTTTCTCAAAATTATGTCAAGCTCAAGCCCACCTTATCAAATTCGGCCTCAATAACAATCCCCTGGTTCTCACCAAGTTTGCCGGTACTTCCGCTGATCTGAAAGTAATCGATTACGCTTCATCTTTCTTGTTCTCCCCAGAGTCAGATACCCGTCTCTACGATGCTTTCCTCTTCAACACCGTCATCAGAGGCTACGCTCGGGGCAGCATTGATTCGAAAGCCAGAGCTATACATATTTACAGCCTCATGTTCGAGTACGGTGTTTTCCCCAATAAATACACGTACCCGTTTGTTCTCAAGGCCTGCGCGGCGATTCAGGACTTGAAGTTGGGGAAATCGGTTCATGGGTCGGTGTTGAAATTCGGGTTTGATGATGACATCCATGTTCAGAACACGTTGGTTCACATGTACTGTTGTGATACACACGGGATCGACTCTGCTCGCAAAGTGTTCGATGAAATGTCCAAGTGGGATTGTGTTACTTGGAGCGCGATTATCGGTGGATACGCTCGGTTAAAGATGTCTGCAGATGCAGTCCAATTGTTTAGGGACATGCAGAGTCATCGAGTTCGCCCGGATGAGATCACCATGGTTGCAGTTCTCTCAGCGTGCACAGACTTGGGCTCTCTTGAACTAGGCATATGGGTTGAATCTTGTATCGAAGAAGAGATGATCCAAAAGAACACCGAGCTCTACAACGCATTGATCGACATGTTTGCCAAGTGTGGTGATGTCGATAAAGCCGTTGTGCTCTTCAGGAGCATGGATGAGAAAAGAAGTATAATCTCCTGGACCTCAGTCATCGTTGGTCTAGCAATGCATGGTCGAGGGACAGAGGCTGTTGCTCTATTCGAGGAGATGGTAGGAAGCGGTGTAGCACCAGACGGTGTTGTGTTCATTGCCTTGCTCTCCGCTTGCACTCACTCAGGCTTGGTAGAACAAGGAAGAGAGTACTTTGAATCAATGAGAGCCATTTATGGGATTGAACCCAAGATCGAGCATTATGGTTGCATGGTGGATATGTTATGCAGGGCAGGGCTAGTTAAAGAGGCGTTTGAGTTCGTTCAGGAGATGCCTATTGAACCTAACCCCATCATTGGGCGTACTTTGATCAATGCCTGTCGCGCCCACGGGGAGCTGAAGCTCGGCGAGGAGATCAGCGCGCAACTGATAAAGAATGATCCCCTGTATGAGTCCAATTATGTACTGCTCTCGGATATTTATGCTAAAATGTCTGATTGGGAGAAGAAGAGAAGTGTTAGAGAGGCGATGGAGAAGAAGGGGATGAAGAAGATCCCTGGAAGAAGTCAGATTGAATTGGAGAACGAGATTCATAAAGTTGTCCCACAGTTGTAGTTGAGATTTTCATTGCTTTTTGCCCCTCTTTTCTGGGTTTAGAATACATCTTATTGTTGTCAAACAAATTGGTTCATCAAAAAAGAAAAGAACCAGTTCCCCAATCCTGGTACAGGCTAGTTAGATTGCTGAGAAATTCCTCAGCAGACTCTTACAGTATATAGTGACTTCATTTACGCTAGATAGAGTTGATATTTGGTTTAGAATAGAATCGTCGAACATAGTTTGATCTGGGACTAGTTCGAATTGTGCTTACTTTTAGTAGCTAAAATGTCTATTTAAGGGTGAATATGGTCTACCCTTTGATCTAAAATCATACCTCCGTCAAACTATACGTAACATTTGAATTGAAGTATTTGAACAAAAGTACGCTCATCCTTTTTTCTCAGTAGCCTGACCTAATTAGCTCCATCTGTGAACAAGCTTAAAAGATGTAAAAGGACTACAACAGCCAAACAAGAAATTCAATGACCACCGTTTTAGTTGATTTTGTTGTTTATTATTTTGGTTGAAAAGACCCTACCAACTATCAAGGTTCAGCTACTGTTCTATTAGTCACATATCAAGTTCAATGCCAAAATGACCATCTTGTTTGAAGAATAAGACACAGCAGTGGACGCTGTGTTTCCTTTTTCCTGAGAAAGCAAAAGCTTTGAACTTTGAAGGACGACGAATCACTTGTTCATAATTGAGCCATGGGGCGCTTTCACTGGAGTAGGTGAGCTGCACCACTTTCAGTTTGTCACAGCTCACCAAGTAAGTAAATAGTCATCAAAGGATGGATGGGGCTATGTGAAATACTGAAATCATCTATCCAATTCAGGAACAAAAATGGGTGACAGGATTAATGGTTTTATTGGTAGAACTGGAATACGCATTTGTGAATCCCTCACCAATAATTTGGACAATGACAGTGGGAATGGATTAATGATGGGTGAATGGGTGGGTATCTTGACTCGATACGGATCAAGTTCAGTAATATTCATTCGAGTAATGTGCAAGAATAGAAAATAAGATTAGCAGGAACACCGTTTAATCTCGTGAAGGGTCGTAATAAGTAGTAACTGCATTATTTATGAACTTTGAAGGGTAAGTAACTGCATTATTTATGAATGAATCAAAATTAAAAGAATATAAATACGAGGTAATTTTTGAAGAAGAATTTTGATAAAAACAGGGTAAAACCCCAGGCAGAACGGGGCTGATGCAAGATCCATTGTTTGGTGCCACACTGTCAATTAGATAAGTAATGAAGTAGATTAGTGTCAAATCGAATCAAACTGATCGGACTAAAACTACCACATTAAACAATGGAAGAAGAAAGAAAGAAAGAAAGAAATTTGAAGCAAGGACAAAATTGTATTCACGAATGATGAATTTCATAACTATTTGCTTTGTACTTTAGCTAAGAGGAGATTAGTTATTTTAAGCAAAAGGGAGGATATGTTTAGACTTTAGACTCTTACAAAGTTGACAAATGCTGAGAACTCGATGAATCTCAAAGGTCATTGGTGGTGTTGGCCTCTCTCTTTCCCATTGTTGCTTGTTTTCCCTTTTCTGGGAACTGAGGGTCGGCCAAGCTAATTGGGCACTTAAAAACTGTTGTTTTTAAGTAAAATCCAAACCCATTTTGTCCAGCAAAGACGATGGCAGCTAGAGACTTCTCCGATGCCGCCGACGGCGGTGGCTCTAACAATAGCTGCCGTGGATAACTTGAAGAAGATGCTCCGATCCCTCTTCCTGAAAAGCTCCTCGATTCCATCTAGCGGTGGGGTAGGTAGGTCAAAGTTCGGTGAAATAGTATATTGTGACAAAAAAAAACCAACAAAATTCGGTTCATTTATGTGGAGAAATCCCACCGACACACGTCGTTGACGGGACTATGCTTCCCCGCCCAATAATCTATCTATCTATTACGGACTCTGATAATCACACTTTAATATAATTGTAAACTAATCCAGCGGCTACAGGAGGAACTGTCCAATTTACAAAGAAAAAAGTCAAAAACCAGAAGACAAGGGCCGAAGCAAAGCCCTCTATAGAGCACAAATTCAGCAGAAGAAATGTGGGAAGGAAATCGTGAGTGTTGTTTCTGGCAAACCAAGCAAAGTGTCTCTTTCCATAAGGTAACGTTTTTGGGTAGCGAGAAAGAACCTTCATGCATGGTTTCTTTCTTGCAAGCTACAACTTTTCATGAAAGGCAAACTTTACCCGAGCTACAAGTTATGACACCCCATTAAGTCCCTTTCCAACAAAAGGCCTGCATTACCAAACAAAGGTTGACAATGCTACAATGGTACACTACTCGATCTGAGATCCAGTTGGTGATGGTTACTAAAAGCAGTTTCTCTGAGTAGTGATCATCACAAGGTTGGACAGCCACAAGGGAGAATCTATGGAATGTAACATCTCCAATGTGGCCTGATTGAATATCTCACAATCGCTCCCGTTGATACGAGAAATGAGACGAAGATAATGATCTAAAAATTCGTATTCTTAATGATCATTAGTCTCAAGGTTCGACGAACCCAAAGCCGAATTGTGATTCGAGCTTGGTAGTAGGTTTGGGATGGTACCAGTGAGAAAGGATCTAAGAAACACACACAAAAACATGAAAATCAAACCCCCGCCAAGTCTTAAATGCTGATCACAACTCACAAGCAGCCTTAAATGCAGATCCTAAAGAAAACGTCCCTACAGAGGATCAACAGCTCAAAATGCACCCGCCCTCATTAAAGGCCATACCAGTTTCACAAGTAAAGCAATACATTACGATGGTTCAGTTTCACTTCAATCGTAATCAGGATGAAGACACTCCACCATAGTAGCCACAACTCAATCCATCTCCAACAAGGACTGGACATGAAAGCTTCGGAACTGATAAACCAGTGACATCTTCTACGCATTCGATTCGATCAGAAACCTCAATTGCATTGCATGAGAAGAACATGAACAACGAGACTACATGTTTGTTTGGAGAAATAAGTACTAATCAAAAGATTGATATGCATCTTCATCAATAGAAGCTGTCTGTCTTCCTACATTAACAAGAGCAACATTCAAAGGACAAAAAGCACAACGAACAGAACATGAAAAAGAAATGGGAATTCAAGACTCCTCTGCTGCTGGAATCTCAGATCCCCTCTAAATGCATAAGAACTAAAGAGACATCCATGCGATAAACTAACGCGAACAAAGAGCAACAACGTAAACCCTAAACAAGAGAAATTGAACATTACCGAAATGAGCAAAAGGAAACTGAGGTAAATGGCACAAAGCCAGACAGACAGCTCCATTTCTTCCTCTTCTCTCTGCCACACTCTCACTGCCTCAAAAGGCCATTGGCAGACCAGACCTCAAAGTCCAGCCAAAGCCCTAACCTTTACAATTCCAAATTCCTCCTCAGCCTCAGTCTCAGTCATCCTTTTGCTCTTATTGCCGTATTCTTCCTTCCCCCACCTTCCAATCAACTAAATTTTTTGTCTTTTTTTCTCGTAGATCTCGAATACTTAAGACCGGAAAGTAAAACTCAAAAGGAGACAAAGTGAGATTATTAGTTCTGCGATTCACTTCTCTTGCCATTGCCTTCACCCTCCCTCTCTTCCAACAACCTTCCTTGCTCTTCATCATCTGGCAGCTGGGTCTTCTTCTGCGCCTCCTTAGCCTTCAACGCCTGCAATTTGGCATGGTTGTAATACGCAACCCCCAAAAATGCAAGCCCGTAGCCAACCAAATTGATCGGGGTCACGGTATCCTTGATCACCGACCAGGAGAAGGCAATCAACAGCCAATCCTTGACAACCCCGGCCACATTCATGGTCAACGCCGACGTCTTGCCCACGAGCAGGAACACGGCGAGATTCAGGGCAAAAGCACAGAACGAATTCGTCCCAAACACCACGAAATCGAAATGGAAACTCGACGTCTCCCTGAGCACAGGGTACTCGACGAAGATCCAAGGGATAAACAGGAAAACCAGGCAGCAAGGGGCAACATAGTACAAAGAAGTAATCGGATTCAGGGTAATCCCTTTAGAAGTCAACAAGATCTGAATCAATACCAATCGTGTGGCCTCGAACGCGACCGCGCCCAGCTGCAGCATCACCCCCCAGACGTCGAACCTCGCCTCGCCGTACGCGGCAATCGCGACGCCGACGGAGATCGAGAGCATGTTGGCCATGGTGTCGGTCTTGAAGCTCTCCCGCTTGAGCGCGACGCCGATGGAGTAGACGGCGACGGGCATCAGGGCTTTCAGCATCTGGATGAAGGAGACGGAGAGGTAGATGTAGGCGGAATTGGACAGCCAGAGGGAGAGCGAGTAGAGCGCCCCGATTGGGACGACGGAGGAGAGGTACATCTCCCGCGACATTGACACCGGCTCGACGACCTTGAAGACCTTGATGAGGACGAAGGCGAGGGAGGCGCAGAAGGACATGTGGATCATGGTTAGCGAGATCGGGTAGGGCCAATTGTACATCTTCTTGTCGAGGATGTACTTGTTGTAGACGATGACGGTGAAGGATAGGAAGATCCAGATTGCGACGTAGGTGTAGGAGAGGAGGATTTTTTTGAGGACGGAGTCGCTCAGAGATCCGCCTTTCCCCATTGCTGCTGCTGGTCGGTTGTGGTGGTCGGCGGTGGCGGAAGGAGGAGGAGGAGGAGGACTCAGATCTTGATTTGGTAAGTGGCGGAGCGGGAGAGAAGAGGGGTTTTGGCCTTTTGGGAGAGAAGAGGGGGGAGATGGAAGACTGAGTGAGGGAGTTAAAAAAAGGAAGGAAGTTTCAGAGAGAGAGAAGAGAGAGAGAAAGGGGGTGAGGTGGCAGTTTTTCAGTGGACTTCTACGGAGATTGTGGTACTTGGTCTCCTCCTCCCTCGTTACTTATGGGCTGGGCTTTTGCTTTGGTCACATATATATTGGAAAAATATAATATATAAAGCTATTTTTCTTGCCCAGAAAACAAGTTAATGAAGTTATATAAAAGTCTAGTATTTTTTTCAGTGCATGTACCTTTCTTGTAATAAAAGGGGGAAAATAAAGGTTGAGTCTGAATTTCAAAAAATTAAATTGTACGCGTGATAGTACCTTTTTTTTTAATCTTGTATGTATATGTTTATAATTGATTTTCCATAATTTGAGTTGCTTCATTGTTAAATTATTTTATAATGAATACAACAAATATATGTGTTCTCATGTAAAATGGCATTTATTATTTGATTGTATTTCGAATATCTATTAATTTTTTTGATACAACTTCAGATATTCGTCTTACGATGACTAAAAACAAATATAAAAGTAAAAGTGCGCGGATTAGTTATAATTCTCCATTACGTCGTCTAAATCAGCCATTAAAATTCAAAACTTTAATGATTTTGTATAGTTTTCATGTAGAACGTATATATTATTCTCATTGGAGTTCTCTATTTTTTTTTTCTTCTGTAATTGGTCATTTGGTGTTGTCTTATTTAATTCTACTATAGGCTATTGTGTAAAAACATAGGCGGTGATATAGTTATACCTTGCCTATCAGTTAAATGAACTGATGTAATTGCTAATAAGAGCAGTAAATAAATTTGCTACAGTTTCTCTTACGACAGGTTTTTTAATCCAACGATGAAGGTTATTCTATAATATAACAGCACTGATTCAAAGGTTGGAAGTTTCTAAAGTAATTTTCTCATTTTTTGAAATCCAACTATTTGTTTTCAATTTTTTTAAAGGCAAACATATTTACTTTCTATCACACCCAGTGGCGTAGCCAGGATTTTGAGTAAGAGGGTGCCAATTTAAAAAATTTAAAATGACTATCAATTTTTTATAGTGTCCCATGAGGGGTTTTCATATTTTGAAAAGTCTGTAAAATACATTCGTTTACTTCTTGAATAAGCATGTAATTATGAGGTTTTTTAATTTAATTTACTTATTATTTGTAAACGGTAAATTATATATATGCAATAGAACGTATTATTGTATCATGTAAGTAATTGTTGTTTAGTGGAAGATGTCAAAGCTAATAATAGTAAGGGGGTTCCATGTTCAAATCCTAGCTATAGCATAAACTAATACCCCTATTTTTTTAATGTTCTAGCCCGACCCAAGGGTGTGCCACGACACACCCTTCTAACACTGTGTCTCCGCCCCTAATCACACCACGCAATTTTACTCGATAGGAGTAGAAAATTTGACGATACTAAAACACATATTCGTATCACTTTTTTTTTAATCTATTTGTATCACATTTCCTTCTTTTAAGCGCAATATACCAACAGACAACTGAGACTGAATACAGGGGGCGACCCAGAAAGGTTTAGCGGTGTTGCGTCACATCCCTAAATTTTGGGAGGAAAATTATCAACCTATGGATAGTAATTTTGGGAGAGGAAAAAAGAGGGACAATTCCTAAATTTTGAACCTTTGATTTTGTATTAATATAAAGGGTTAATACCTTAGTTTGGCCCGAACTATACACATACTTTCTACTTTGGCCCGTTTTATTGAATATTGCTACTATGGCCTGAACTATGTAGCAAACTTCCTCATTTGGCCTGGAGGCGGGTTTGACCGTCAAAACAGACGGTCAACCAAGTTGACCGTTAGTCAATTGCCACATCACCTGCCACGTAGACATTAAAAATTATTTTTTTTTTACAAAAAATAAAAAATAAATTAATAACTCTACAAAAAAAGGAACGAAAAATAAAAGAAAAAAAAAGAACGAAAAAAAAAGAAAAAAATAACCACAGCCACCCATCCCTATCTTCCACGCAGATCTTGACCGTCGGTTGGAGATCCTCCGGCGAAATACTCTCGATTATCTCCGTCGAGAAGCTCTCCCTCTGCAGAAACCCGAAGCACGGCTCCGGCTGCAATTCCTCCTCCCCTCCTCGTTTGGGAGAAGGCAAGCACGCCAATCGCTGCAATTCCCCGGATATATCGCTGCTACACCCGGAGAAATCACTGAATGCCTGCGAGATATCCAAAAACTCCTCCGCCGCCGCGGAGGAGGTCAAATTCGCCGCCGACGATTTCTCTGACTTGCCGGAGCAGTTGAGGAAGTTCCTGCAGCGAGCTCCCCGAGGCGCATGTCCACAACAGAGTCGGTCAAGTTCTCGGACACAAACCCGTGGTCAGGCGAGGCGGTGGCGGAAGCGAAGGAGGAACAGCTATCCTCTCCGGTGTAAAGAGTGCAGCGGATCGTGCGCATGGAGCGGCCGATTTGGCGGTTGATCTTGGTGGTGGAGGCGGAAGGAGAGAGCAGGGGAGAGTAGAAATCCGTGCGATGGAGAGGGAATCGGCCGGAGCTGGAGAGGTGATGGTGGTGGTGGGAGAGGGAATCATCGAAAGACACCATTTTTATTGCTTGGAGTGGTAAAGGAAGGATGAATCGGAAATGGGTAGTGTTTGATTTCCGGAAAAATCTACTCTCTCATGGTTGCAGAGACAGAGAGTGGCTGGAGAGGAAGAAAGAGGGAAAGGGAAAGTGAAGATGAGAGATTTATAAATAAATAAATAAATAAATAAATAAGGGCTGTGGCTGTGGGTGGTTGTGGTTTTTGTAGAGTTAATAATTTATTTTTTTATTTTTTGTAAAAAAAAATATAATTTTTAATGTCTACTTGGCAGATGATGTGGCAATTGACTAACGGTCAACTTGGTTGACCGTCTGTTTTGACGGTCAAACCCGCCTCCAGGCCAAATGAGGAAGTTTGCTACATAGTTCAGGCCATAGTAGCAATATTCAATAAAACGGGCCAAAGTAGAAAGTATGTGTATAGTTTGGGCCAAACTAAGGTATTAACCCTAATATAAAAAGATGGAATCCAATACATCATAAGCTCATTTTATAACTTTAAAACATTAAACTTATTCATACATCAATAATGAATAAATTATTCAACGGAAAAAAAAATAATGAATAAACTCCCTAAATTGCCCAATTTTATCAAAATCCTAAAATCGTAACCATTTTTTTCTCATTGTTCGTCTCTTTTTCTATGAATACACAAATAAAAAAATGAAGCAACATTCTTGGCTCGGGGTGACTACATCTTGTTTAGTCCCATGGGAACCCCTATAGTCTGGTGTCTAGAATTTTGTAAATTATTATCATTATATTAAGAATGATGAGAGATTTCTTTGATTAAAAGAATTTGATTAATTAGCTGAGTTGATAACGTAGACAAAGGTTAATTTATTACATCCTCCATGTAGAGGACAAGATTAATCGGTAAGATAAGTAGATGTCGAAAATCTAAGCAACTCTCATATTATGACAGATTTTATAGAGAATTGAAATGTCAATCCACAGATTGGAGGCTGGCATTTGATACCATTTTTATTAACGGTTTTAAGCTTAAGAAATATCATTTTTTTTTTGTTGATTCATTAGTTGTTCCTTTCATTTGGATTTTACTATTAAATGCCGTTTGGCCTAAGGAGATTCATTCACGGGAAGAGAGTAATTGTTTTAGAAGAAGAAAATTATATATTTGGAAAAACTCGAAAATTCATGCATTCGTAGTTCAGACAGTACGAATCAGGTATAAAATTAACATAAAAAGATTGGTTTTATTCAGTGATGAATTCTTCGGTCTCTGTGACGGGCCGTTTAATTATTGGTATAAACATAACAAATGGGCTGGCACGACACAACATGAAAATTGACAGATGACGGGTCGTGTCAAGTGAAATAAACGGGCCAAAAGCGTGCCCATGTCGTGCCGGCCCAAATACGGCCCAACGCCAATGTACAAGGCAGCTTAATAATTGGTGCACATTTAGTGACAAAAAAAAAAAACTCTTTCATGTTCTATTTGATTGTAGGATTCAATTTTTAGTTTTGGTTGTTTTCAACTATGTAACTTCTTTGTATCTGAATGTTTTCTCATTAATAAGAGCCATCTTGTGATAAAACATTTGTTATTTTCTTTAATATATATTTTTCTCCCGTTTTACGTGATTGTCTTATTGATATAAATAGCCTGCCTTTATCCCGTAAGTGAGTAAGATTAAATCAAACCCCATTTTGCAGCTGGAACTTATTCATTTTCCATGGACTTCTCCTATACGCAGATTCCACACTTGCTTTGTTATGTGCTCAACGCTTTCCGTTGAACATACTCCGAAGTTGATACGTTAACCACTGCTTAAACGACAATCAATGCTTTGATCACTCATCGAAAGCCGTATTCTTTTTTAGTGCTGCAGAAAAAGAAAAAAGAAAAAATGGGAGGAGGAGGAAGACACCAGCAGTCCAGCACATTTGAGTAGGGCTGGGCATGTGGGCGGATCATCCGCGGGTTTGGGCCGACCCACCCGCATTTGACCCGAATTTCGTTAAGTGGGTGGGTCTATGGGTGGGTGACGGGTTGCGCTGGGAGCCATCCGCCGGGTGGTGGGTGGGTTGTGGGTGAGTGTGCGGGTGACCCGCTCAACCCAACAGCAAAAAGATCAAAGTCGTTGGCGCTAGAGAGAGGAGAGTGGAGACGTTAGATATAAACTCGGACTGCTCCTTGAGTTTGAACCTCAAAGCCAACCTTCCAAATAGAGATCCCCTCTTCTTCCATTTACTTTTTCCTCTAATTCTTGTGCCTAGATCACCGCTCATTTCTTTGTGGAATTATTTTCTTTAGTTCCTTGCACCTAATAATCGTCTCAATCGGTAGAAAACTCTTTCATAATAGAATTTCTATCCAATTTAAGAACTAATTCGACATTTTTCGCCCTATTTCAACTTCTTGTTCCCCTTTATGATTCTCTTCACCTATTATCATGTCAAGTTGACTCCTTTATATATTATATACATTGTGATGTGGGTGAACCCACAAACCCACCCGCATCATCCACCATCCGCCCGACCCAACCCGAAACTAAATGTGGGTGGGTGGTGGGTTAAAAATTATCAATCCGTTTAAGCGCGGGTGGGTGCATTTTATGGTCAAAATCCACCCGACCCACCCAATGCCCAACCCCTACATTTGAGCAACTAATAAGAATAATACAATTTAGAGCCGGTTAATATAATAATTTAAATTAAGTGGGTAAGTTAAGTCAACCACTGATTTTGTTAGCATTCCGCAAAGTTGATTCGGTCACAATATATAATTTATGATTTCCCCCCCCCCCCCCCCCAAAGAATCATGTATGGTTAATGAAATTCATACGGTGCTTTTTTTTCATTAGTATTGAAATTATTATATGATCATAGTGGGAATAAAATGGGTGCAAATAGGAGGATTTTCCAAATCGTTACTCATCTTAATACTTTTAACATCTTTAGCTTCAAAGTTCTGTTGAAATTCAGTACATCGATGTTATTATTATTATCATTATTATTATTATTATTATTGAAATTATGGCACAGTGGTGAAGGGAACGGTTTTACTATTGGGTTCCTTCTCAAAATGTCTCGTACTGATGTGCTTAGTGGACACTAATATAGAAAGGTTCATTCCCTTGTATTATCGATGTGTTATTTGGATTGTCCCATAACAATCCTCCTTTCACGACAAGGACCACGAACTTTGTGTTCTCTTCTCAGCGATTGTCTTGATCCGCTAGACACCTTGTATCGATGGGCTTCTCGATACAAAGAATTTTCCCAAACGCGAAATTCTCTTTGATGGAACGAGGGGTGTCATTTTATATAATGTAAAATTCAAATAAATATTTGAAATAAATATTTTTTTAATATCAAATTAATTCGTTAGTAGTTTTGTACAGCTATAATGTAATTTTAAACCTGAAAATAATAATAAAATACATCCTTTTTCTTTACTCTTATATGACTTTCGATTTAATCCATTAAGTCTCTTTGATTGTTTGTAAAAAAAAAAGTCGTATGAACGTGAAGATCTAGCATTTTGAGCCCTATATTACAAGTTACAACTGCTCCGTGTTAATAAAAAAAAATTCCTTCAATTTCTAACGGTGCCCGTGACAATATGAAAAGGAGGTTGGCTTGGCCTATGATCGAACGTTTGCATAACACATTACGCATAACGTTCCTGAAAAATATTCATTTCCTCATGTGAGGTTATGCTGATTAGATTAAGTCTTAAGAAGACACGTTTGGTCATAATAACTTTCTTAAGCATCGATGTTTTGAAGGTTAATTTGAAGTTGTATCATAACATTATAAGTACAAATTGAAGTTGTATCATAACATTAAAAGTACAAATTGAAGTTGTATGATAAGTAAATTTTAAGTTTGATGTTATGATACAACATTTATTTATATCATAAATGAATATATACAAAAAGTTATAGATACAACATATGGTGGTACCATAACATTAAAAATACAATATCAAGTTATTATTATACTATAAAAACAAAAATAAACGCACCAATATTTTATAGCATTCTAAAATTCCTCCTCTAAAACAGTTGCACTAACAAAGTAACAATTAACAAAGTATGGTAAAGGAAACCGTACCGGACATCATATCGGATTCCTTTTTGGTAGGGTATTTTGTGGTACGACCGTGGTTCAACCGTTTCATACCGGTAAATACCGTTTTTGTAATAATAAAATATATTTTTTGTCACTCCATATGAAGCCAAGACCAAAACTTACGAAACCTATACTACCATCCATCATGACCGCAACTCATGTACCCAACAAACAATTGGGCTTCTTTGTTTGACAGCCCAACCCATCAATAGAAGCGGCCCAGAAACTTTTAAAGCAAAACACGAAAATGGCAACCCACTTTTCAGTTTTCACCAACGAAGAAAAATTACAGATTTCGATCGGTAAAGAATTAGGGATTTATCTTCCTTCCTTCTATTTACCTACCTCCATGTCGGCCGATAACAGCAGCCCAGCTTCCGGTCGGCCGCCAAGCTCACGTTTTGTGCCTTGCAGCTCCGGAAAACGTTGCCGGATCCCTTCGACAGAACCAAACCCTCCTCCGAAGATCCATACGCTCGGGGAAGAATTGGTGTCGGAATCGGTGGTCGATTCGTCCGGATTCTTGAACCACATGTCGAGCTCGTCGGCGGCCCTCGATCTCCCTTCGGCGCACGACTTGCTCCGCCGCATGTGAATCTCCTGTTCCAGCGCTCGATCTCTCCTAATTG